CGGGCATTGTGGATATATTTCCACGACTCGGAATTTTGGAAACAAACCTACATGCACGTGTTGTGATTTTTTTGGGCTGTTGCATTGACGTGAGTGTTTGGTGTTGTTTTCTGTCGTGGTTTTTTCATTTTGTTTCGGCGATTCGTTTGCGCGTTTTGGTGCAAGATACGCCTCTAGTGTCCAACGGACAGAATCCTTGGCTTTGCGAATGAATGAGGTACTGGAATAAGTGTAGGACGCCGCTCTTAGAGTAGTGACGATATGCATCAAAACGGGTTCACCATGTGTGAAGAAGTGTGGAAGCTGCTAAAACGCTTTCGAAATCCCCAGCAGCTCCTAATCGTTGCGTGGTTTGTGTTGTGTTTTTTGTGCTTTTTGAGTTGGTTTTATGTTTGTCCTACTTGGTGGGAAGTTGGCCACTCTGCAGCTGTGAATACCTAACTGTTTTTAGGGCTGTTATCTCTGATTAGCAGAATATCTCTTGATTAGTGGATGTTTTGTGTTGCTTCGTTTTTATACTTGGCTTATAAGCTTGGGCCTAATCCCATGATAAACATGGCGCCTGTTTACTTGAGCGTCAAAGCCCTGCCAACATCAATAAAGTAACACAGCTGATGCTTGGGCATCTAGACGATTATAAAGCTCACATGTGGTGGGTGTTTTGGGGGGGGCTTTTGCTTCTTTGTGTTTTTTGTTCGTGTCTGTGGTTTTTTGTTGCGTTTGTTTATTGGTTGTTGTTTGTAGTGACTCTAGAATACTATTTTCACACAAATTGTTCTGAGACATCTGTTCACCGGTGTTAACAGCGCTAACCCTTGACTTTGTTGATAGTTAGTGTTCGGCTCGAGGCACGGATTCGTGGGTTCGTACTACAACAGGCCTATTCCATAAATTTACGGGGGTGTCTTATGTATTTGCCTTATTCGTAGGCGAAGTTAGAGTCGACCTTAAAATCGGCTTGTCTGATGAAACCGTGTTTAGCGACTGTCCATGCTTTGTACGTTAACGTTGGTTTTCTTCCTGAGAGTAGCAAAGACGTCGCTCAGCGCACTGCCACCACCGCAAAAAGGTCAGATTGTGTTTACAGAGGTTCATAGTTTGCGATAAACATAGATATAATGTCGGGATCACGAAACTTGATTTGCGCTCAACATGGTATCAGCCAGTCTTTCGATATTTACGAGAAATAGAATATTTCGGTTCTCGCGATGCGGTCAGAAATCCTTTGAATGTCGCCGCGCATTCACTTCCAACAGGTCGCACGAAACATTTGAATGGACTGAGACACTATACAGATATTATATCTGAGCAGCAGCATCTTCGTATTCAAGTGAAACATTCTCACCTCTGCGTGGAATTTGTAGTGCTGCTATGATGTGTTTTCTGATAGCTTATATGTGGGAATTGGGCGGAGTGGTTTGGGTCCAGTTGCAAGGTTTTGACGCGCGAAGGTCTACTTCAGCATCGCGAGCGGCCGGGATCAAAATCCTGGGTCGTGAGTCGCCCGGGCCAACCAAGGCGTTCTCGAACCCCCCCGGGTGGTTAATTGTACCATACTTGCTGGATGATAAAAAACACCGACTTGAATATCGGCGCCCCCGCAAGTCATGTATAAGGCACATCGCATTCAAATGCCACGCAACTTTACAAATGGAAGTTATGAATGCGTTGCCGCATCCAAAACGGATGTCAAGCGGCAAATGCTTTATCCTTTTATTGTTAATCATTGATCAACCTTTGACATGCTTCAAGTTAGTATACTCTAGACATCTCACTTGAGGAATTTCTTTCTGAGGAATTTCAATTGGTTGCTAGAACTCAATTTGAAAAGGTACTAAGTGGGCTAACCAAGGTATGCTTTGAGTTTCCCGTGGAACTTCGAAAGGTCTTTATGAATAAAAGTGTAAATCAGTGAATATTTCGAGCATGTATATACTCCTCCTAACAACTACGTCCTCTTTGCGACACAACTTGATAACTATGCGCCATGGCGGTAGCGACTCTTTTTAAATTCGCCCACGTCCCCCCCCCCCGCATAGCATAGACACCGACCCATTCCGAAAATTAAATGCCAATTAGCCTTATGTATTTGATTATATTTATCTCGGGTACAGTTAGCAAAAATTCTGAACCTCAAATTGGAATTCAACGCTAACAACTACTTGGTGCAGTGCACAAATCGCAACGTATTCGATTCCAGCACAGCGATCCATACGTCGAATACTGTAGCGAAAAAAAGAATAACGTGAGGCCGAAGCAGCAACCCATTAGGGCACAAGACGTTATGACGTCGAATACGAGCGAAACCCGGATTAGCGTAATTCGACGGCGCAGACGCTTCGACGTCGAGAAATAATAAAGAAGGACCTTGGAGATTATGCACCTAGAAAATCGCAATTTTCTAATATTGCCATACCAGAAATCTTGACGAATGTTGCATTGGTTATGGTCAACTCTGACCATGGGTTTCTATATCCCAGAGAGTCATCGAGAGACGTCCATTACCAACACATGTGTAGAGCCGACTTTCAATAGGAATCTTCTCAACTACTTGCTGGCGTTCCCCAAGGGCCAGTCTGCCCTTGATTTCAGTGCCCTACATCTGTTGAAGTTTCGTGGCTAAAAATTCTGGCGATTAAACTCACATTATCTTTTCTGAAAC